CTAGACACGTTGCATATCCCCTCCTCTACAATAGACCTATTACAAAAAGCCGTCATACTAAACACATGCCGAATAGTCAGAAAATTTCTTTCTTCATCACATAACTCATCCATGCTTGGCTAAGGCTCGCGTGTTTGAATATATTACCCCCTTAATAAGGGATATATATATGTATATCATATATATATTAATATTGTTAGGGAATTTACTCTCTGCTACCAAAATGTTAGGGAAAGTACTATGTATATATATAGGGAAAAATATGTGTGGAAACGTCTGTCACGTACCTGTATGGTTCTGCGGATTTCTTGGGCTTCAGGGTCTCGAAGATATCTTCGCTAGCTTTCCAGTTTCACAGTAGGTTTAATACAGTTCTAATTTATTTTAATTCACAATAAAGGCGCGCGCGCGTTATGGCCGGCGTACGGTCAGTTCAGTACTGTAGGTAAGGGAGGGGAACAGAAACCGCGGGAACACAAACTAACGGACTCTAATATAATAATCTGTGCTTACGATGGTACAGGGTAGATTTTGAACAAATATATATATATTCATAAATACACACGTATACATAGAATACGCCCAGACCGATACAAACAATCATAGTTGTGAATACAAGTTTGTACTGTGTGAGGAATCGAACTCGCGACCATAGTAAATAATGCGGTATGTACTAAACCGCTAGACCTCCGAGGCAGGCAATATTCGCCGGTTTTACTAGATATAGACTGTGTATGAAGAGGCATGCGTGGGCAGCGCTGTCACATCTAATTTACCGGTAAGGTACCGGTAACTAATCTTGACTAAATCCCTGTTCGAAAATTTTTAGATCTTCTCTTAAAATAAAACAAAATCTACTCAGAATTTCTATTCTGAGTAGATTTTGTTTTATTTATCTTTTACTACTATCGTTATGTTTTGTATATGTTTATTTTGTTAATAGTAAAGTCTATTTATTTTATAAAATATTTTTTTTTTATTTTGCACCTATTCCTCGTTCGTCTTGCTATTTTTTTTTTTTAGTGGACGATAATGCAATGGTGCATTTGCCTGCACTTTACGCTGGCGGGGCAACAGTGAAGGATGATAAGATGAATATGAAGTCAGGTCAGTTAGCCCAACGTGACAAATTCACCGGGTATTTATCACGATGGTTTCCAGGGGGAACCGCGTGGAGGTCAACCTGACATGGTACAATGCTAGTAAAGGGATCATTAGTCCACATTACTAACAATCCCCTTAGCACGCCGCTTTATTGCCGATGATCGGTTCGATTCCTCGTACGGTACAAATATTTGTATTCCTATTAGTATCGGTCTGGGTGTAAAAAAATGTATGTACGTATGACATACATACATTTTTTGCTCTTCTGTTTACCCGTGATCATCGTGACCGTTGAAACACTGCCGAAATATTGGGAACTCAACAAAAATAAAACGTAGTAAGAGAGGTAAGTGCTCTCATTAACTTACTGCCATGTTGGATTCAAATACATCGAGGTAAAATAAATTGAATTAAATTGAAATGTGAGCATGTCAAGTATTGGACTTACATTGTTGTAAGTCCAATGTATATACATATATAAGTCCAAAGTAGATTATTTAGATATTGTCCACTGTCAATATTGTTATTGATTATCACGTTTGACAATTTGACAATACCTAAATAATGTACTTAAAACAACATTTAAAAGAGCAACACACAAGTTCCTTGCACATTCTTCGTGTGATGAATCTGCGTTCCGAATGAGTGGTAAGAATAAAAAAATATGACTATTCAAAAGTGTGTATTAAGTTTATTTGAATAAAGATTATTTCTATTTCTATTTCTATATCAAACTACCCCATCTAAGATAATAGTGGTGACGATATATTATTTTGTTCTACACATCATAAATATGGAAAAAACATCCTCTTACAGGAGAGTCTGACGATGCGAATCCTCAGCCATTTATCATGACGCATCGCATCTAAAAGTCAAGAGCCATTTTAGTAATAACTAGCTTACCCGCCCAACTTCATCTACGTTTCAATTCCTCACCTTTATCAATATTTTTCATTGCAGCTCCGCTCCTATTGGTCATAGAATAATGTGATGTAGCTTAAAGCCTTCTTGGACAAATGGACTATCCAACACAAAAATATTTTTTCAATCTGAACCAGTAGTTCCTGAGATTAGCGCGTTCAAACAAACAAACTCTTCAGCTTTATAATATGTGTAGAGATATGTAATATTATGTTTTGTTTTTTTTTTGAGGGTTGATAATGGAATGGAGCACCCGCCTGCGCTAACGGTTTACGCTGGCGGGGCACCAGTGGAGGATGATATGTAAGATGAGCATGAGGTCAGGTCAGTTAGCCCATCGTGACAAATTCACCAGGAATTTAACACGATGGTTTCCAGGGGTAACCGCGTGGAGGTCGACCTGACATGGTACATTGCTAGCAATGGGGTTATCAATCCACATTACCAACAATCCCCTTCCCTCTGTAATATTATGTTATCTATGGTATAGTTAATAATATTGCTGAACAATACACACAACGCCATCTAGTGCCATGGTAAGCAGAGCTTGTGTTATGGGTAGTAGACAACTGATATAAATACTTAGATTTAATAATAATCTCAGGACAATTCACACAGCGCAATCTAGACCCAAGTTAAGATAGCTGAAGATTGTGTTATGGGTACTAGATTACTGATACAAATACATAGATATTTTTTTTTCGTAAATACATACATATACATAGAAAACACCCAGACCGATACAAACAATAATACTCATGAATACAAATGTTTGTGAGGAATCGAGCCCGCGACCATCGGATGTAAAGCGGTGTGCTAGACCGCTATACCACCGAGGTCGTCAAAGATATATCCATGTTGTTTGTAATAATTTACCTATAGTGAAGTAGAAGAACTTAATAATAGTTATGTAATATTTTGAAATTGTATCTAAATATATATAACTCAAAGGTGACTGACATAGTGTTCTATCAACGCACAGCCCAGACCACTGGACGGATCGGGCTGAAATTTGGCATGCAGGTAGATGTTATGACGTAGGCATCCGCTAAGAAAGGATTTTGATTAATTCTACCCCCAAGTGGATAAAATAGGGGATGAAAGTTTGTTTGAAACTTTGTCAACTTTAAATCGATCGGGCTGAAATTTTACATGGATAAGCTATGTCTTAAGAAAGGATTTTGATAAATTCCACCCCTAAGGGGATAAATTAATAAAAATAACATTAAAAGCTTATTGATTATTGATATCTATCAATAATCAATAAGCTTTTAATGTTTTTTATATATATTATCATATCTATGATTATTACAGGCTTTTATGATTATTTCTCTACTTACTGTTTTTTATTTCTTCTATGTGTATTGTACATATAGAAGAAAAACAAGAAAAAAAGAGTTTATTAATAATATTATTAATTTTTTTTGTAAATTACATTATGCGTTTTACGTACATGTATTGTATGTGAAATACAAAATGATTTTCAATGGATTTTCTAGGGCAAATATCAAGGGATTGTCATTTAATGTTACGTGTACCTATGTACACAATATAACTATTTTTAATCAAAAGAAATTCAGTTGAGTCTCTTGCCGGTTCAATATACAGATTCAAATGAGAAACAATAGGTAAAAAAACTTAATACACGAAATTTTACGCTCATAAGCGGCTAAAATATCCTACATGAATGAATTAATTTTGATTTGATTTCATATATATAGAAAACACTTAGACCGATACAAACAATCATAGAAATAGAAATAGTTGAATCAAGAAATATTGTCGCGCTATACACTGAAAAATAATGCCAAAGTTGAATCAAGAAGTATTGTAATAGAAATAGAAATAGAAATAGAAATAATCTTTATTCAAACAAACTTAATATAAGCACTTTTGAATAGTCAAGTTTTTTTATTCTACCGCTTATTCGGAATGCAGATTCATCACAAGAATAAGCAAGAGACTTGTGTGTTGCTCTTTTAAATAAATATTGATTTACTTATATTTAATTAACAACAAGGATTAGGCATGCGACAATGAACATAGAAACCGCTACGCACTTAATCTCTGTTCAATCAGATAACATTGTCATACTCATAAATAGAAAAACTTGTACCGTGCGAGGAATCGAACTTGTAACCATAGGAAGTATGCTAAACTGAAGACCACTAAGGCAATTGACATTAGTGTAAATGTAATACCAATTGTTATTTACTCAGCCCTCAACAGTTGGTTTATAGCCACTATAGCATTGCTCAAAAAGGTCAGAGTTCAAGTTGAAGTTAAGGAATAAATTAGAGTTAATCTTATTTTTTACGTTTTCAGTCAGAAAAATATCCCAAGGAATTGTATGATGAATCTGGAGGTTTGTTATTTTATTTATACAAGGCGTGATTAAAATTTTGTCCACGTTTAAGTATTGCGACAGTCTCTATGGTCTAGCTAGTGTTAGAAAGAAAGGACTGATTCAATCCCTTTTGACGACCTCGGTGGTCTAGCGGTCCAGCACAGCGCTATACGTCCGATGGTCATGGGTTCGATTCCTCGCACGGCACAAACATTTGTATTCATGAGTATGATTGTTTGTATCGGTCTGGGTGTTTTCTATGTATAATATGTATGTATTTATGAAAAACGAAAATATATCTATGTATTTGTATCAGTTGTCTAGGACCCATAACACAAGCTTTAGTTAGCTTAACTTGGGTCTAGATGGCGCTGTGTGAATTGTCCTGAGATGATTATTATTATTATTATAGTATTATAATACAGTGTATTATTCTGATAAAATAAACTTTATAGTAATATAGCTTATACCTATATTACTATAAAGTTTTATCAAAATCCATTCAGTTCTTCTTGCATGAAAGAGTAACAAACATAAATTCATCTCTCCATCCTTACAAACTTTCGCATTTATAATATAAGCAACATTTCTAATTTAGAATTATGTTATTATTATTTTTTGTACTTACCGATATATTCTTATAAGCCTTAGATATAATTGGTACAGTTTCTTTTCTAACTGATGCCACCATGACTAGTGGTATGAAGATGAGGAGTGCGGCGCACCACAGCAGCGCCAGGAGGAGCAGTGCCTGCCTCCTGCCGGGGGGCCGTAGTCTGGGTTCTGGAGATATGGACAACCAGCGGTCTACTGACATCGCTGTGAGAGTGAACACGCTAGCTGCTACTGCTACACCTGGGACAGATAGAAAACATATTTATTTATTGTACAATTCAGTGTTACATTGATCCTTACGATATAAAGTGAAAGCTGCTCCCTAAATCGGAAAAAAACCTGTATTTTAGGATAAGCAATGCTCATTGCCTACAACACTACCGTGTCACAGAAGATGCAGTATAAATTCTTTGACATGTACTAATGGTAGATATATCAACTCTATGTACTAGTAAAAGTATGTATTATAATAAAATAACAACTATATAACATTAATTTAACTATGTCTCTAACACAATTCATTTTAGCAATTAAAATACAACCAGCACATCCTGTGCTCAAAGACCGAATGCCGCGGCTTTTTTTTTTTTTCGGACTACTCTAATGCTGTTGGCCGTAGCTGGCCTTTACAGCTTCACCGGACGTTATGGGGCGAGTGCAGATGGCACTCCAAACCCGCGGAAGGACTTATGGAGCAGCTGAAGGCCAACTCCTGCCTGACGGATACGACTTTAGTCTGAGGGCACCACTAGGGATTCGAACCTCGGCTCAGGCCGTCGTAATTTCGATCCCCGTTTGAATTGAACGGGGGATGAATTGAAATTGAAAGAGCAGACCAGTCCCTACAGGCAGCACTTGTTCACGAGTATGACAGATGAGCCAGCCATCACTGATCTCGACCATATTGGGAGCCCAATGACCCACCACGCCGCTTCGCCGCCACATGTCTGGACATTTTAGTGAGCATGACTACTCATTCCACTCGACCTCGTCATAACTACTTATTTAGATTTATATATGGTAGTTACAGTATTTATGTCTATAAATTATTGTATCTATAGATATAGATGAGATATTTAATAAAGAAATTTAATTCACTGGACAGCCTTATTTACTCGCGATATTTATTTTATCGTTGTTCTTCGAAATCTTAAAATACTTTGGATTATTTCCTCTCTGGACCACTTAAAATACTTCGTTGCTAATAAATATTTTATTTGAAATATTGTATACTAGCTATGCGTCCCGGCTTCGTACGGATGTGTCACAAATCTTTGAATTTCTCGGCTTGTTCTGTACTATAACACGTATGTATTATACATATAAACCTTCCTCTTGAATCTTTTTATCTATTTCTGAAAACTGCAAGTTTGTTAAGTAACTTAAGAGATACAAACGAACAGATAATGGGTATGACTATCTTTCTTAGTACTTGCGTACTATGTTTATTTTATGTGGAAGTTAAAGTGTTACGTGTTGTTTTTTTTATAATTATTTACTATTATTATGTGTTATTTGAATTTTGTTTGTACTCTCTTTGTTTATCTTATCGGAACACAAATAAAGATTATTATCTATCTATTATCTATCTATCTTTAAGCCTTGATACGACACGACTCCAATTCTGTCTTTAATTTATTTTATGTAGCTGTTCCTTGGTTTTCCTCTCCCCTTCTTTCCTTATATCTTTTCTTAAATAATTACTTTAAAAAAACTAGTAAATACCTTGTATGTAATTGACAATCTTGCACACAGTCTCTCCATAGAACCAGACCAGTGTGATGGCTTTGCTCAGCTGAATGGGCATGCACACGCCGGTGACGAGAAGATCTGCAGCTGACAAGTTCACCAGAAACATGTTTGTGACGCTGGAACAAAGGTATTTCATTTATATATCTTGACGACCTCGGTGGTCTAGTGGTTTAACACACCGCTTTACGTCCGATGGTCGTGGGTTCGATTCCTCACACGACACAAACATTTGTATTTATGAGTATGATTGTTTGTATCGGTCTGGGTGTTTTCTATATATAATATGTATGCATTTACGAAAAAAAAAATTTATGTATTTGTATCAGTTATCTAGTACCCATAACACAAGCTTTAGCCAGCTTAAATTGGGTCTAGATGGTAACCTGACTCTGAGGGTAACGCAGCTGGAATCGAGTAATAACGCGAGTTTCAAGGCGTTTGTGACCTGAGTTCCCATCAACATGCTGCCCACCTTCATGAAGGAGGACTACTGGCAGAAAGGTGTTCTATCAGCGCTACCGTGGCAGATTACCATCATCAATGCCGTGATCACACAGACAATTTATATTTCATTTTGTATTAATAATGTACAATCTCAGGAGAATTCACACAGCGTCATCTAGACCCAAGTTAAGCTAGCTGAAGATTGTGTTATGGGTACTAAATAACTGATACATATACATAGATTTTGTTTTTTGTAAATACATATATATTATACATGGAAAGCACCCAGACCGATACAAACAATCATACTCATGAATACAAATGTTTGTGCCGTGCGAGGAATTGAACCCGCGACCATCGGAAGTAAGGCGGTGTGCAAAACCGCTAGACTACCTAGACTGTCACAAATTATATAGATGCATTCAATATACGATGGATTAGGCTATATAATAAAAAGTTAATTAAATAGAAAATAATATATACATATATAATACTATGAATAATTTCAGAACAAGAAACACAGAGCCATCTAGACCCAAGTTAAGCTAGCTAACACTTGTGTTATGGGTACTAGATAACTGATACATATACATAGATATTTTTTTTCTAAATACATACATATTATACATAGAAGACACCCAGACCGATACAAACAATCATACTCATTAATACAAATGTTTGTACCGTGTGAGGAATCGAACCCGCGACCATCGGTTGTAAAACGGTGTGCTAGACCGCTAGTCCACCGAGATCGTCATATTATTTCATTATATTAATAATATAATAATTAACAATTATATTATTCATATGTATGTTAGAATATAATTCATTAGTAGACTGAATTAAATAAATATCTCGACTCCATAATCCACTGAACCATCAGTTCTTGTTATTTCGTTTACAATTATTCCAAGGACGCACATTATAAGACGTACTTATGTGTTGAAAAGGTTTTTATAGCACTAACTAGTTATATAGTTTTCTTGGTGAGCTTTAAAAGCCCTCGCTGTGCTTTACAACTTTAATTAATGTAAGGTAAAGTTTGACGTCACTATTCTTTACAGTATGTTTGAAGTAGCAAGCCTTGTATTGATGTTGATGAGTGCTTTTAACTGTTTAATACGCTATTACATTTATACAATTCTCTTGAGTTTCTTGCCAGTTCTTCTCAATTTGATCTATATACTGAACTGGACGGTAAGGAAAAAATTTAAGTTCATAAGCGGCCAAAATGTCCTACATAATAATAATCTCAGGACAATTCACACAGCGCCATCTAGACCTAAGTTAAGCTAGCTAAAGCTTGTGTTATGGATACTAGATAACTGATACATATATACATAGATATTTTTTTTGTAAATACGTACATATTATACATAGAAAACACCCAAATCGATACAAACAATCATACTCATGAATACAAATGTTTGTGCCGTGCGAGGAATCGAACCCGCGACCATCGGTCGTATAGCGGTGTGCTAAACCGCTAGACCACCGAGGTCGTCAAATATATGATTTCTTTCTACATGAATATATGATTTCTTTATTTGAATTTGAATCACTTGTATAAGTAATGTAAGGAAGAGTGAACCATTCTGATACTGGCATACTTATTAGATTTCTACGACAAGATTAATAATGTAAAAACTATGTTACCCAAAATATAGAATTTTAGACTTTTATTTTGAACTATCTGCTCTCGCGACTTCGTCCGAGTGAAATTTATTTTTATACTTTTTTTGTTTAAAATAAAAAATATAAATCTAAAATAAAAGTAGCCAAAGTTACTCCTAATCACATCAGCTACCTGCCAAAAAAAATCCCGTCAAAATCGGTCCAGCCCAAAGTCCCCAAAAACCAAAACTTCAGTCCAGCAAATAAACTTGTACACGTTTACAACATTCCTGAATCATTTATAAATTCAAATTTGGGAGAATAGAGTAACTACAAGCATGTGCTACTGCATTTCTGTCAAAAGAAATTAATCTAATCGCTGACCGTGACCGGAACAGACCAGTCCCGTAGAACAAGCAACGCCCGTTCACGAGTATGACGGCTATAAATTTTGTAAACCTCACTATAATTTTTCGTGCACGAAGTGTAACATTGTGAATCAAATTAGATCTGACATTACATGCCATTAACAAGCGTGCCAACATAATGAAATTAGAAAGCAACGTCGTGATTAATTATAACTCTACTTCCCCAATTCGCCACAAACGGTATTTTCGCATCATCGACTTTAAGAAATTACTTTCTACCCTTCTTTGGGAAGGGTGAAGTTATACGTAAGTCATTCCCTTTCACAATAATAAAGTAATAATAATAAGTTTCCCTTTTTTTTGTACCTAATACTTCTTAAGGGTCTATTGCATTGTCATAATGTTATCCAGTAGAAGGAACTTACGGAGTAATAAAAATGCAAGGAAAATACTCCAAGTAAAATTGTAATGAACAAGGTGTACTATATAAAATTTTGATTATTTCATTCTTCATGATGATTACTAAATAAAGTTTTTTAAAATATAATTTATAGTATTTTATATGTCACTAGCTGTACACGCGACTTCGTCCGCGTGGAATTTAACTTTATATTTCTAAAATAAAGGTAGCCTAAGTTACTCCTTATTACATCAGCTACCTGCCAATAAAAGTCCTGTCAAAATCGGTCCAGCCATTTCAGATTAGCCGAAACAAACAGATCGACAGACGGACAAAAATTTAAAAAATGTTATTTTAGTGTATGCACCTTATTTATATTCATATGCATGTAGTAAAAAATGCTTATTTCAATATTATAAATAGACACTCCAATTTTCTTTATATGCATAGATGTATAGATAAGCGTATGTTTCAAAGCGATTATAATATGTATTTTTACTTGAACATATATAATAGATTTACCTTACCAAAGGACGTGTGTCTATCTTAGCTAACTATTATATACCTCCGACGAATATAAAAGTAAACTTTTAAAATTTTAAGGACCCGGGTGCGCGGTCTATCGTGTGGTAGAGAGGGAAACTCCTGACCATACCAGTTCCTGGGACATGAGATCCTTGGATATTAGAAGCCACTCAAAAGTGGCAATTCCTAAAACAAATCATCGATTGGCATAACCCCAAAATAATGATAGGCACAATATCGGGCCAGTGTCCCTTAAATAAACATCTGTACACAATAGGCGCTACTGACTGACCCTTTTGTCGGGGCTGCTTTGAAGCCGAACGGCTGCTCACGTAATCCTGGAGTGCTTGCAGTGGCCACACAACGAAGACAAATCCTCGGAACGGTGAGGTCGCTCAAGCCTGTGAAGACACTAGGAGACTTCTGCGCTTTTGGTAGAAGCTTGGCTGGCTCTACACGCAGCTACTACGGTCCAGATGAAAGCCAAATTTTTTTTTTCGGAATACTCTAATGCTGTTGGCCGTAGCTGGCCTTTACAGCTTCACCGGACGTTAGGGGGCGAGTGCAGATGGCACTCCAAACCCGCGGAAGGACTTATGGAGCGGCTAAAGCCCACTCCTGCCTGACGGATACGACTTTAGTCTGAGGGCATCACTAGGGGTTCGAACCTCGGCTCAGGCCGTCGTAATTTCGATCCCCGTATGTATTGGACGGGGGATCGATCGGAGGGGCGGAAAGCCTAATTGCGGAGATTAAAGTCCATCTTACTTTATAGGGGCCACTCTCACCTTCACCGATCTGAGTGTCATGCTCAGCCAAATCTGGTATAAGCCTGCTAGTACTACCTTCGATATGTTCTTGTATAGATAATAATAATAATAATAATAATAATCTCAGGACAATTCACACAGCGCCATCTAGACCCAAGTTAAGCTAGCTAGAGCTTGTGTTATGGGTACTAGATAACTGATACATATACGTAGATATTTTTTTTTGTAAATACATACATATTATACGTAGAAAACACCCAGACCGATAAAAACAATCATACTCATGAATACATATGTTTGTGCCGTGCGAGGAATCGAACCCGCGACCATCGGTCGTAAAGCGGTGTGCTAAACCACCAACAGGCTGTCTAATATAATGTAATATATAATAGCCGATTCTCAGACCTACTGAATATGCATATAAAATTTCATAAAAATCGATCGAGCAGTCTGGGAGGAGTATGGTAACGAACATTGTGACACGAGAAATTTATATGTAAGATTTGCATTCATGAGTATAAATTTATTGTATTTGTCTCTGTGTCTACTATGTTATATTATGTATGTATTTACGAAAAAAATATTAAAGTAACAGTATATAATAGAAATCTGACAATGGGCTAATACTCAAATAAGCTTAGCTTGGGATTAGATGGCGCTATGTTCACACGATTCATCGTCACATGTTATTGTATATAGAATGTTTGATCTATCAAATTGAATTAATGTAACTCTTATTTATACAATACTAGTTGTTCTCGCGGTTTCACTCGCATGAAATACATATATAGCCTGTGTTATTCTGATTATAAGCTATGTTATTGTAAAGTTTAATTAAAATCCGTTCAATAGTTTTTGCGTGAAAGACTATTTTTTTTTATTGGGTTGTTTGGGTTATTATATATTTGTAGCACCTGTAGCACTGCGACCTACATAGATCTATTGTGCTCGCCGTTTTTCAAAGTTCGCTACCTAGACCCGTCAGGGATAAGAAT